TCAGGTTACCCGCGGGTGCCTGAACAGCTCGAATACAACTAGCTTTCAACAACATTGTCACCTCAAGTTTGAAAGCAACAAGTCCCATAAAATACCTCCATCGTGCAGGGATGGGCCTCATCTGCCAGTGAATTCTCACACCCATGCAATCCAGTGAAGAATCAGGCCACTCCGACGTAAGGTGAGTGTATCAGAAAAGTTACTTAATTTACCAGGTATTTCCCAGGGAAGCTTATGTAAAAGCTACGGAGGAACTAAACTCCTTGTGAAGCTGACAAGCGCATCGCAATGTCTTGGACAGAAGCTTTTCCCAGGATGTGTGAAATAGATGATTCAACCATTTTAAATTCCTTGTAATAGTCACGTGACTGCAACACATGCCCTCTCTTCAAATGACAACAACAGGTACCTTTCACAACCCTAACGAACAACATGTGTACCGGGCATTACTTACAGAGTCACGGCTCAGCCCAAGTGTGCTGTCATGGGGCAACCTTTTGGTTTCACTCATCTGCAGTCATCATGAACTTCAGAACAAGCATGTTTACATGCCCATAGCATGCAGAGCCTCTGCTTCTCTCTCTGGCCATCCCTGTATCTCAGCTTTAATAAAATTCCACCTTAGGAGGACAACGTACACACAGCACACCGCAGGTGCACTTGCCAGAACTTCATGTTTTACTGCAGTGAACAATTCACTGCTCGAGGGGGATACTCCCTGACAGGCAAGTCTGACCACCCCTTAGGGGGACCCCTCCAGAAATCTGCCATCTCTATTAAGAGGGAATAGAACAGGTTTATAAAACTCTGTGCTACAGGACAGATGCCATGTGTATCACTCACACGACTAACTTCAGGCATACAGAATCCCCTCCCATCTTCCTAAGGATGGCTTTTAGTCCACATATTGCTGTGACTCATGTCTCACTTTGGCACATCTGTTAGATCACTGTTAAAAACATATCTTACATAATCTCACAACATAAAATATGGTTTGTAATAACGAAAATGCTGAGAATTCCAATAAAAAGGCAAGTAGATACCAGCAGAAAAGAACAGCCAAGTCAAGCACAGGGATCTTACTACTGAGAAATTCTTATCGGGGATTACTTGTTTCCACTTTCTGGTTAGTATATGTTAGAACACTGTAATATAGACACATTCACATGTGACTGCGTAGGCAATTTTAATACAAATGAAAAATATACAGAAACTTCAAATATAAAAGTGAAATACGTGGAACAAGCATTAGTTGGTTTTTGGTTATATGCCTTCAGTATCTACCTGCTTGGTAAAAAGCCAGAACTCTCCTGGCTAACTTTTCAGTGAAATATAGGCTGGCTTTTGAGCCTAGTTAAAACAATTCATGTAGACAAAAGTGCCATGAAACATGTTGGCATTTTGTAGTCTAACCATTTGAATCATAATTCTGTTTCCAGCCCTGTAATCACAGAAGAGAAAATTCTAATTTCTCTATTGAATTTTTATTTTTTATCAAGTGTAATCAGGAAAATATTATCAATATCACTAGGAGGAGGTTATATCAATTTCTTTCTATAACAAAACCAACATCAATACATTAAAAAAACCACAAAAAAAATCCCCATGCTTAAATTTTAATCTCCTATTTTTGTGGGTCTCTCTTTGCTAACATTAATCTCATGCAGTATACTCCACCAGCCATTTCAGAATCACTGAAATTAGGGATGGAATAGGAATAGTCGTGCATCACATATGTATATTGATGTGAACAATACTGATGTGGACTCATGGAGGCATGTTCACACCATGCCATTTTCACTATTTATTTTAAGTGCCTTGACATTCTAAATAACAAATGAAAAAGTTTTCTCAAGAGAAATACAGTAAATCCCTGTTAGATTCTCCATGGACTGCACTGGAAGTCTAGGTACATCCAAATTAGATGACAAGGTGAGTATCTCTAAAATGACAAGTTCATTCACTGCAGTATCAGATCTTTCTAATCTCCAGGTGCTGTCTTTCAATTCATGCTGTGCTATTTTGTTTGTGCATTGTGAGTAACAGCAAGCACACAAACATTTCAGATTCCCAAGGGGATACCACAGAGCAGCTTCGTCCTGAAAGTATGTGGAAATAAAGCTAGAGTGAAGAAGTAAAACATGATGATTTCTTACCATTTGGTACTTGTTTCTGGCCATGTAACCTCTTAAGAGAGCCTGAAGAGCAATAGTAGCAGCTCGCATGCATTGGTATCTCTTGCGGACCACATACATGCGCTGGAACTTCTGAATAGTGATGGCAGCCCGTGTTCTCCGCAGGAACTTGGCATAGCTAAGCAAGAAAAAGATTACAAATAATATTTGTAATTACTTTTCAGTGCTTGAATACTATTTTTTTTACATCCTATAACTTTACCCTCTTTCTCAAGAGCTACATTCTCTACTTCAGTTTTTTCCTGATGTTGTCAGTGATACGGCATATTACTTGCTAATCCTACCAAATGGCAGTACAACAGAATGACAAATTACCAGAAACCTTGCAAGGTTTTACAGGGAAATGTTTTCACTTCCCCTGAGAACTGTGCTATAGAACTGACAAGATAAACTCAGCTTAATTTCTCACCACCTTTTCTCCAGCTTTAAAGCTATTTCCACTATGCCACCTTCCAGATCTCCTCTCCTAACCTCAACCTGTAAAAAATGTGTGCTCGTTCTTGGCCCTCTCAGCAAGACAATTACAAAGCATCTCGACATAAGCCTCTTTCCAAAGGTTGATTCTTACAGTCTTCACAACCACCTTGTCTTTGAATGATACAACCTGTACTCCTACCCTTTTCCTGGCCCATCCACAGCCATCCCTCAGAAGTCAATCCAAACAAATGACTGACTGATGTATCTCCCCTCACAGCTGTACCCCGGATGACGAATGGCTTCTCCAGCAGGACAGACAGACCCAGCTGGGAGGGCGCATGGAAACTGGGCAATGAGGACTCAGCCAAGAGTCTTGCTTTACCTCACCTGCAACATATCTCCCGGTACTACTTGTACTCTTCTCCTGCTAATGACATACTGTTCTAAGCATCCTACAGCCAGGGTGCTACTGTCCTCTCAGGAAGGTCAAAAACAGGCAGGACAGACACACTCATATTCAATTTCCTTCACTTCCCTGGAAAATCGTTTCCTCTCAGCCAGTACAGAAAGGAGAGAACAAGTGTATCACATTTAAATGTCCTACTTAAAGGGATCTGAATTGAGGCTAGTGTGGGTTTTCCCACGAGCATTGCTTACCATCGTGCTTGGTACCCTCTGACATATCTCTGAATGGTGATGGCAGCCTTCCTCATACGCATGTACTTCTTTCGCATCAGCCAGCCTCGGATCGTCTTTTGGATGCGGATACAGGCAGCTCTCAACTTATCTGCCCTTATTTTTTCCAGATAGGCTACTTGACCAGCCCGGAAAAATATTTTTGTCTTACCAAACTGGTACTTATCCTTGTCCTATTTTCAGAGGTAAAAAGAGGATCAGTTACAGCATTAAATGTTAATGGATTAAAAAAAAGACATGAAGGGCTAAATGAAAGTACAGTTAGTAAAGAGGCAAAATTATCTGCGTAATATTTCAAGTAAACCTAGACTTAAATTACGTAGTGGAGAAGAGTGTTTTCTATGTATGATTCTGTTAACAAATTAATACAATATGGCCACAAGCATGGCCTAAAGGAGTAACGTTCAGATTTTTGCTTAGACAAGAATGCCACAAAGATTATAAATGAGATGTGGAAGCAATAGAGGCAATGGACATGTACAATTTCCTGCTTAAATTATAGATGAGTCCTCTGAATGGTCCATCTACAACCAGATCACACAGTACAAACAAAACAGCTGGGGCTTCAACATGTACGCATCGTTTACTGCATCGGGACTAAGCCAGAACTAAGCATCTTGCTGCTGCTCAAACACATCTGAAATTTCAGGACTAAAACATAAAAGGAATAATACTCTATCTCTGTAGGCTGTAGTACTCCTTGGAGGGAAAAACTGAGAATATACAAAAATTGAAAAAAATTAATTTTGTTGATTGCTTGATGTTAAGTTAAAAGGCACAGCAGTCAAAGAGCTACAGCTTAGGATATATTTAACACTATACGTTAACACTATAAATACAGACACATGCATATGAACCAAAAGATTTTAGTTAAGTCCACCCAGTGACACGGAATTTAAAAAGCCAAGCCCCAACCTGCCTGCACAGTATTTATTTTTTTGTTTCCATAAACATCCTAACATTGCCACTGCACTTCAGCAAGGTCAGCTTTCTTGCTTTTTTATCTTCAGTAAACTTTGTCTCTTCCTCTTTCTAACTGCTACTTCTGAGTAAGTCTCAATTACCACCTTCTACTGAGAACTGGCTAGAACCACCTCTTTGGAGCCTGCCTGCCCTCCACTGTTCATTGGTCCTTAAGAAATCCCAAGAAACACATCAGTTCAGGTGCAATGCCCGTGGTGTGGATGGCATAGCCTGGGAACGTAGGGCTGCAACTGGAGGTAGGAGGCAAAGCAAGAGGCTGCCAAGGTACAAGGACAGCCACAGTGCTAAGCATGGAGACAATGTCATGAGGACGAAACGAGTGAAAAAGATTGACTTCAGCACAGGAGCTGAGAGGACCAGTGTGAAAGACACATTAGAAAACCTCCAGATAACTATACCTTACTTAAGGTGTGGTTAATGCATCTTGCCGTTAAGCACGGTAAGGCTCACCCTCAACCAACCCACGCTTAAAATCACTGTCTGTCTTTCCTGTGATACACTGGGCAATTCTACAGTTCCTGTGCTAATATTGGTGGTTTAGTACTTTGCAGAAGTACTAAAATAGTGTGACTAAGGGAATAAGGGACACTATCTTTACTCCTTCAGATTCCAGATGCTCTCAGCACTAAGTCTAGTACCAGAATCAGCTTCTCCAGGACATTTTTACACGTCTGCTTTCGGTCACTAAGGACATCTCTCTGCTTCATCAGAACACGGTAACGGCTGAAGAACTCTTGGTATGTCCACCTGTTCCAAAAACAGAGATAGTGTCAGTCCCAACAATGAATAATTCTCTTAAAAAGAAGAACTGCTCCTGAAAGCAATCTAAAAAGTGACAAACACACCTGGAGGGGAAGCCAGCTGCACTGATGCGGATGGTCTCCAGGACACCACAAGCTCTCAGCTGCTGCACTGCCCGCTTTTCATCGAATCTACATAGAAATAAAAAGAGCCTGTGGGTGTGGGGCTGGTTTTGCATTACATGAGACCTCTGGCCCTGTGCGCACCCAAGACAGGAGTGGCACAGAGGGGGAGCAGGAGTGGGATGTGATGGGTGGCTAACAAGTCCAGCTAGTGCTTCTGCAACTCAGCAATAATGGAGGACAGCCTGACCAGGGAATCGCCCGAGCCTGTCGGCTGCTGCAAGCTGCTCATCCTGTCCTGCTTCCCACTGGCCTGCCCCATAGCCAGGGGAGTCTTTGTGTACACAGACTTTTGAGAAAAGCTCTAAGCAACATCACATATGAAAAAAAGATATGGAATAAGACACTGGAATCTGCAAAAACAAATTCCAGCAAATGTCAAATGAACTCAAGGAGCGCAAACTGCCAGTCACATTTAAAATGGCTAGCAATGAAAACGCTACTATTTTTTCTCATATATCACCATAAACAGAAAAAAAGCATTAAGAAGTATTTCTCCCTCTATTCATCCCAAAACATCTCCCACTGCAAGTACACGTACACATGCACAGTGAGTCCATAACAGGAGAAAGGAGACACACCACTCCACTCCTGAGGGAGCAAGGTTTAGCAGAACCTTGATCCTCCGAGGCCTTGGGCAATGCCCTCCCATGCGCAGGCTATACGAACCATACAGGAACCAGCTTACGTGAATGGAAACTTGAAGTCGTTAGGCTTAATACAGCGCACGTAGTGTGGAGTTGTAGCGTTCAGGGTTTCCATCAGCAGATGAAGAGAGTTTCGAAACTTTTTGAAAAAGAAAAAGGGAAGAATATCAGGGAATAGCCTCAATAAGCTCAGTCATGTTTGAGATAACCTCAGGAAGTGGACCTAGGGGTATTTGCTTATTTGTAATAATGGTTTTGGTAATAAACACCAGCTTGTTTTTGTTATAGAAATAGATTTTAGTTTCAGATACTGTCTTTGGGTGAATTCTGTTACAGTGAGACTTCTAAATGTTAGACTTTGCAGGGGTAAAGTTCCCATATCAGCATGTGATAAACTACAAAAACATGGGATAGACTGAGTTATTTTCAGCTTCTGAATATCTCATCTACCTTAACCTTTGTCTAATCGATCTCTTGATGACTAAACCTCATGGCATATTACTAAATAGCTATTTAATTTTTAATAAATTTTAAATCAAATTTAAAATCAACAGAGTGGTAAAAAACCGGTACCAATTTCTTCAGCTCCACCGATCCCAGTGTCAGAACTACCGAGGAGAACTTTGAAAGTCCAATATCAAGAGCTTTAGGATCTTTACTTTTAAATAAGTACCAGGCCCACAAACACCTAACATACTGCAGTATATCCTTCTAACCACAGAATACCCTAAGAGATAAAGAAAACTATGAAAACACATCCTAGATGTTTTAAACGTATTGGTATGGATTTCCTTCTTTCTGTTGAACTCAAGATTCTAAGCCAACTTTTATTTCTACACAGAATATGATAAAAATCACTTTTGTATTAGCTTTCTTTAAAATTCATATACTAATATACATGGTTGATTGATAGGAGTAGTATGAGAGTACCCCTAACACTTCAACTCAAGAGTTTCAGTCTGACAACAAAACTCTTAGGCCTCTACCAGCTTCAGGATACTGTCTGTTCGCAAAATCAGAAATGAAGTTCAAATCAAAAGGACAACTGGGCAAGGGTTCTCTTGCATGAATTGTAGAAGATCGGGACTTGCAGCCTGTACCAGGAACACATCCCAAACAGATCTGCAGTCTGTACAGTAACATGAATAGCTGTTCCTAGCTTGACATAGCTTGCTTGGGGAAGGTTATAGAGAAATTGTGAATATCCAAATCAAACATTCTCTGAATTCTCTGATTCTCACTTAGCAGCGTGACTGGCTCATGACACTGCATAGGCACTGTGCTAACATCTTTGTTAGGGGATCAACAACCATCTAAGGCAGTGGACAAAGCCAAGGAGTTTTTGGTGATTTTATCAGAACTCTGAGCACCTGAGAGATGTGGTTAATTCCCCTTCAAGAATTGGCAGGGGACCCTGATACAAAGAACTTATACTCCCCGAGAGCTAATTTATATTCCAGGCTGATCTACAGTAATATAAAGAGAGTTATCCACACAGACCTCCTGGAAGCCCCAGGCAAAAGAAGAATGCCACTACTCACTAGCGAAGTGGTATAGACTGGCAAGTAGGTAAAACCAGAGTATTAAACTGTCAAAAAAGTTCCCCTTGGCTTCTATGTATAGTCCAAGGGACAATCTGTCATATATAAAGCACTGACTGGGGACATAACCATCTTGAGAAAACACCTATTAAATCTGTTGAGTGGAAAGTAACAAAGAAGTGAGTTCTCCAGCCATACTGATCTGCATACTTTTAATTTAATTCTGGCACATATACATGGGTATTTTATGTTCAGCCCATTGATAATTGGAATCAAGTTTTCTGGGGACTGAACTCCCACTTTTGAGTCAGACGATGTGGTACATGATCAAAAAGACTCAGTATAATATTTTCAAAGCTTCTCAGTATCTAGTATGTTAAATCTATTTTGAAAAACCTGAGTTTTGGTTTTGGCACCACAATAAGAACTGAGCTCCCTGAAATTGCGGCCCAAAATGTATTAGAAATTAGGGTATATTTGTTCCAAACTGTAAGTCACAATCAGCTGCACCTGTCTCAAAATCACAAGGGATCCCAAGAAGCACCAGCACCTTGAGACCTATGTACCTAAGGAGGTAGAGATTATTTAATAGAGCTGCATCTTCACACTCACCTGATGTCCCACAGTTTTCTTATGCTCCTTGCTGGCTTGGCCTGGCCTAGCCTTGGCTGGTTTTACAGCTGTTCGAGACAAAGGCACGCGCCCTGAAGGGGTTGCTGACGTGGGACTGAGGACCTTCTCCTCATCCTGGAATAACTCTGGCAGCAGCTTAAACTGGTATAACAGCAGAAAAAAATACCGAGGGTAAGAATCCAGCAAGTGATTGCATCCATTTGTGCTTCAGGTAGTTAGAATCCAGGCTCAGTTTTTGTAAGCACTGGGTTTTTGTCGAACTCCACATGGGGACAAATGCAGAAAAGCATTCAAGCTAGTAGTATAGTGAGTGGGCCATGATTTAATACTAAAATTTTTGTGGGTTTGATCAGTGAGTCTCCTTCTGAAGATAAAATTCTGATTTGAGTTTTTTTTCATAGAGCCAGCAATAGCTTCCATGAGAAACTGTTAGATACTGACAGCAGTTTCATAAGTACCAATCGCAACTATGTATGGCTGCTTTGATCTAAGAAGGGAACAACAGGCTCCTCTCACATTCCAGTGGTGCAGACTCCTTTGTGGTTGAGAATTATCTAGGACACTGAATAACCCAGCAGGCCAACAAAGAATATTCCTGCTTTATCACTCTAAACTGAAATAATCAGCTTGAAAGAGGAATGATCAACCAAAAAAAAACCATTAGCCAAATTTATCTGACTGAAGATCTACTCGCAGGGAGTGGAGGAAACACCTGAAACGGCTTTCCAACTATCACACAGGGCTTCCAGTTCCCTTTCTCTAATGGCTACAAAATACTCCCATAAATAATAGCTGCTTTGAAGTAACTTACAACTAAAAATAACACCACCGGGTCTTTCTACTGACAACTATAGCACTTCAGAAGCATTGTAAGAGTAAGAAAATCTGAACTTCTCTACCTGTCAATGAATAATCTTTTATCTTTTATCTAGCATCTGTGCATTTTCTCCCAAGAGATAGGAGCATTCAATTTTCAGTACTAGAAAGTGCTTGGGCTAAGTACAACCTAAAAAATAAAAAAATTGGTTTTGCCTTATAAAACTTGGTGAGCATGCACGATATCCAATGAAACATGCTGCGCAACAAAATGGTACTTGTGCTCTATGGTTGTGCCAGATGGGCTAGCAGAAGGGATCAAATGTTCCTCAGTAGCATCCAGCACAGCACTTCAGCATAATATAATGACTATGAATGCTACAAAGGTATCCTAAATTCCTGAACTAAAAAAGGAGCTTAGCTTTATCTCACCTGAGTCTGACAGATTAGGAGTACGATCACCTTAGATGACCTCGGTAGCTGGTGGAAGAATGACATTTCCAGAGGGTGATTTAGCCCGTCTCCTTCCACTGACTCAACACAGAGTTCAGGATGATTGGGCCACCACCACCTCATTCAGCTGTCCGCAGTCAGATGGAGTGAGTCAGTATGCACAGGCATCTGAGCTACAGCGCCAAGTCTTTCCATCCCATACAGAAACATACTGGAATGCAATATGCTTTGTCTGAAACTCCTGATGCTCTCACACACCAGAGGTGAGGGTGGGAAGAGGGTCCCCAGTGTCTGGATTGCAGAAGGATGAGCTCTAAGCTATCAGTACGTAAATCTCATTCCCTTTTTCCAGCCCTGGGAAAATCTGCCTGTAAAGATGGGCGTACGCATTTCAAAGGTGCCATTTCCATAGACACTGCCTCAGTTACTGCCCGCAGAAGAAAGGAGCAATGTATGGCCTCCTGCAGCAGAGGTCAACAACAGGAGAGCATTGCTGAGAGGATCCACACTGTGGGGACATTGATGTTCTCGTATGGTTTTGGGGTTTAGTATCTTACCAATTTTCTTTGTTTCACAGAACACCAAAAGTGTTCAAAGAGAGGGAAAACACTGATCAAAGAGCAGATAATTCACATGGTAGAAAACAAGCAAGCAAGCATTTTTTCCCTGTAATTTTTTCAGACGACTTAACAGACATGCTGCTAACAATCTTACAGATTATTTCTTTCAATACAGAGCCACAACAGAAGATTTTAACAACATGCCAGTAGCAAGCATAAAAGCTGAGGACTGTCGTATTTCTTTCATGATACATGCATGGAAACTGAACTAGTTCAAAGAGGTCCTGTGGGTGGATTTATAGAGAAGGCCAAAATAAACAGCTAAACACTACGGTGCCTGCCAAGAGCCGCGTGTGTCATGCACTTCGGAGAGCAAAGAAGCATTCGAGCTGTATGTGAGAGTGGGCATGGGCAGGATGACAGATGATGCATTCAATTTAGAATTACCTTCTGTTCAATGTGCACAGCAAACCCAGAAAACAGCAACAACAAAAACATAAAAATCAGAAATGCAATCCCACTACAATTACTAATGAAGAGTGCCTGCTTTTGAAAATCTATTTTCTTCACAGTTTAATTTTTTTTTTTTTTTAAATACTGGTTTTGGTAAAATTTACCACTGGGGAAAACCATGGTAGTTCTTAGTGTTTAGACTGAATTGACTCAGCCTACTGAGCCTGCCCAAGCTGTTGTCATGCTCTTACGGCAGCTATGTCCCCATCGTCCCTTACTCACAGGACTGCATCCCTCGGGGCGCCCCTGCACCTAGGCCCCGCACAGTGCCCCGCCACGCCGTGGCAGAGCAGCAGCTACAACA